GACGCCCGCCTCACCCACCTCTTTCATCTCCTGCAGCCCTGACCGTGAAGTTTCTAACCAAGAGGTTCATAAGCGAATATGATCCCAACTTGGGTAAGACGCTTTCTCCGCGGGTGTTTCCCCCCGATGAGTTCCCATGGAGCATCCTTCCTGTCCCCCGCATTCCCTACAAATACGGCATTTAATGGGAAAAAAAAACCCCAACACCCAAAATTACATAAAAACCAACGGAAGGGCTGGATTTGACCCAAACCCGCCTGTAAAAACAGAGGTGAAAGCAGCGCTCTCTCCGCAGGCATGTCTCACGGGGAAATGTCGGATCCTCGCATCACCCCAAAGATACTGAAAGCCGAATTATTGGGGGTCCTTGGGGAGCATCTCGTGCCTCCTGCTCGCTCCTGGGGTGTCGGGCAGGGGAAGGGCTGGGGGAGCGAGCGGGGGCTGCAGAGCGGGCGGCCCTGGGGCTGCGCTTTGCAGCGAGCGGTTCTGGGCATTTTTTTTTTTTTTCCACTCGTTTGAGCAATTAATAACTATTTTCCTAGGCCTGACTCCAGGGCGCAGGGAAGAACCGTAAATGATTTATCGGGGACATTAGGGAGATATGGACCTTGTCCAGGAACTGACTCCAGCCCTAATAACTCAGCAACCCTTAGGAAAGAAGGATAAATCCTTTCCTCCTCGGATCTTTTTTGGGAATGCGGTTTCATCTTCCCACGTCAAAACCTTTCCGAAACGCATCCGTTAGGACCCGGCTGGGGGGAGGCATCTTCCTCCCAGGGGACCGGTTGAGTGGCTCTCCCTGCCTGCCCTCCTTCCAAAAGAAAGGGGTGCTCCTTTTGCCTGATTTATTGGGAAACAGCCCCGGTGTCGAGCCTCCAGCTCACTTTATCTCGCCAGGTCATGACATTTAGACAAGGGCTGAGGCCCGGGTGCGGTGATAGCCGCGCCGGGCTCCTTCCCCTCCTTCCTTCTCCCGTGGGAGCCCACGCTTGCGGCATGCAGGGGGAAAGAACTGCTCCCAGCTGGGCTTGCCCAGCGGCATCGCCGCCGGTCCCCCAAAGTAATGTTGTCTCAGGAAGGAGCGAGGTGGGAGGCATTGGTGGAGGGTGCTCCTTGCCCAGGGATGAGCTTTTCCCATGGTGCTCCAAGCATCCAGGGCTTCGCTTGGCTTTGGAGAAGACGGGACACCCCAGCCCGTCCTCACAACCACCCTTCTCCTTGCAGAGGACACCTACACCTCGGAGGAGCTGGTGGACCAGCAGCCCGTGCTGCTGAAGGTGATGGACACTGCCGATCAGGTGAGGCGCCCCGGCACAGCTGGTGCCAAACGCCCGGCGTGACCGGGCTGGACCGCGGCTCAGCCGCTCCTCTCGCCCCCAGGATGGCCCCGGGAACTGCGAGCGCTACCTGCGCTGGGCCAGCGCCTTCCTCGTCGTCTACAGCATCGACAACAGGAAGAGCTTCGAGGGCTGCCAGCGTTACCTGGAGGTCCTCGCCCTGCACGCGAGGGGCTGCCAGCGCCGCTGCCCCGTGCTCCTGCTGGGCAACAAGCTGGACATGGAGCAGTACAGGTATCGGGCGCGGGGCGAGGCTGTCTTTTCCCGGTGTGGGGGAGAGCTCACAGATCATCCCCCCATCCCTCTGGCTGGCATGCAAGACCCAAATCTGATTTTTTTTTTTTTTTGTGGTTATTTCCACCCCTGTCAGTATTTGCCACATCCTCCCACATCTCCGAGGCTCCTGCTCTCCTGCCTGGGGGGGGGGATGATGTGTTTATTTCGAGCCCGTTGGTATTTTTGGCGGGATGTTTTTCGGCTGCGTGGTAAGGCAGCATCACCATCCAGCTCCTCGCTCCCCTCTGGATGTGCCCTTTCCCTGGAGCCCTTTCTCACCCCGTCCCCGCTGCCAGGACTGGATGTCCCCGGTGTGTTTTTCTGGCCTTTTGTGCCGCTCTGGGGCCGTGCTGAGTGTTGGTCCCACGGGTCCTTGAGTCAC